TCCCTGAGATATTTGCCATTTTTTTCCTGTATGAGCGAAAACAGGATGAGAAAAGGTTGCACTAGCTACTTTATTCACAGCAAACTTGTTGAGCAGTAGTAGAAACTTTAGAGAAAAGATGCAATTAATATTCTCGTTAAAATCTTGAGGAAATTGCTATTGTATGGTGGCTCCCGATCTTTCAATAATATCCAGATGAAGGGTATTTTTGTGAATTTATTAAGGTCGAGGTAGTGGTCAAACATGGGAAAATTTATCATGTGACGAACTTGGCAGTGCAGCTGAAAATGATGGTTTATTAAATGTTGCCAATGGATTCGGGCATTATGTTGCACTACTTATTTGGCCCGATAACGATTTTCATTGGGTCAGAAAGGTTTGTATTTGAATGTGCACATAGCAAATTTCTATGTTTTCTGTCTTTATTTTCAGGATTCAAACGGATATTGGTCACACAAACCGGGATGTAAGTTTAGTAGTATTTTTGAAACAAATCTTCATTTTCATTCGCTTGCGAAACTATCCATATATTCTGTGATTCTAAGCAGAGCCAGTTATCACTAAAATTTGGGCGAATAACAATATAGTAACGATACATTATAATGGTAGTATCCATTAGAAACAATTGTACAATAAACTAACAGTTCATTGTCTATATAGCTACATCAGTTACTAATCGTGATAATAGAAATTATTTCATACGTGATCCATCAAGGGCTTATTTTTATCCATATGCAATATTTTGCTCATATTATGTAGCACAACCATCTAGACTTACAATCCGTTAATACAAAAATTAAAGTTACTATGGATGGTTTTGATAACTTAGCAATGAACTCAATATATCATCATCTAATATTTTCCTGATCTATATGACGATTTCGAAGATGTTAATACGATATTGTTATCATACTATTTTAGGAAGAGAAGTGGAAACTTTTCCAACGGCAAGAAGTTAAAGCTTTATGTACAGTTGATAATAAGTGTAAAACTATTTTCTAAGATTACTAGATATTATCATTCATTCGATGTGTATAGTTTAGCTTTTTAGATAGTAAATAGTTGATTTTGTCGAACATTTTGTGTTCATTCAGATGCGTTCCGCAAACGGATCGAAAATTTTAGGTATTCTGTCTCGAAGACAAAAACTATCTATTTGGCACTTCTTTTGGTAAGCCTTCAAAAACGTTCTTATCTTACAGGAGGTGCTTTTTGTCAATGGGTATACAGTAGTTTTATCGAAAATGTATGCGCATGATCTACAACCTTTTTTTTGTACGTAATGTAACTTAGTACTTTTGAATTACAGGATGGGTTTCCTGTGCCTACTCTCGCTGACAGATATCGAAACTGTCTCTTCAAACGACTAGCCACTATACAATCGTGTGCAAGTTCATTTTTAGAAACTGTTTTACAACACAAAAATATTGTAAATGTAGTTAATCATTACTAGATATGTTTCTTCTACTTGTATTCCGTTTTTACCCATTGGACGACCATGTAAAAGAATCGTAAAATTCTATGTATGTGATAACAAAGTATTTTTCGACAATTTATGTGAGTTTGTGTTCTCATACATTGTAACCGACCCTCTCTCAATACAACTAGAAATTGTACGGCGGTCAGGGTCTAAGGAATGCCTATAATTTACAACAAATTCTGGTTGCCTGAAGCAACCCCTAAATTATATCCATATTTGTGGATAATTCAACAATTAAGGTCAGTTCTCAATTTATAAGATAAACATATACAGTAATCCAATACTATCCTAGTACTCATACCAAACTGAATACCTGTTATTCATTAGTTTTACAACACAAATCTCATTCAAATGTTAGGTGTTCTTACATCATGATCTAGTTACCCGATTCAAAACACAATGCAGAAGTTTAAATCTTATCTTTTCTTTTGTCTATTCTATTCTGCCGCCAAAATTTAACTTTTCAAAAATGTCACAACGTCACGCCTGGACAAGCCGTTGATCACTTAGGCCTGGTTGGTTATCATTTACCACAAATTCTGGTTCTCTGAAGCAATTTCTAAATTATATCCATATTTGTGGATAATTCAACAATTAAGGTCAGTTCTGGTCATCAAGTAGGGATTTTAATTTAGGGGTTTTTCAATTTGGGGATTTTTTTAAAATAAGATAAACCACGTATACAGTAATTCAATACCACTCATATCATAATATTCATAGTACTCATATCATACTGAATATCTGTTATTTCTTAGTTTTACAACATAAATCGAAAATTTTACTGTCTATAAGTCAATTCTGGTGACCGGAAATGTCTTTTATTTATTCTCTATATTTCCTTACATAAAGAATAACAGGTAAATGAATAACAGGTATATGAGTACTAGGATGGTATTGAATTACTGTATATATGGTTTATCTTATATTAAAAAGCTCTCTAAATTGAAAAATCCCCAAATTAAAATCCCTACTTGATGACCAGAACTGACATTAATTGTTGAATTATCCACAGATGTGGATATAATTTAGGAATTGCTTCAGGCAACCAGAATTTGTGATAAACGATAACCAACCGTAAAATTAGCGAAAACATATATATTTTGAAAAAATAATTTTTAATTATTGTCCATCCAGAGAAAGAATGGTATATAACTGTTTTTTGAATAAATTTTGACAGGATAAAGCTAAACAGCTTCAATTTTCACCATTCGAAAGAGGAGACTTGAGGACATGTTTTCATAACAAAAGTTTTTCCCGGGAGAGCTTTCTGAAACAGGTTTTCTAGGCGATCTTTGGAAAACTAGCTCGTATGTAAAAATGTTCCGATAGGATTGTATTGATTTGTTTTCATAGACTGATAGCCCAGGGTGAAAAATGATATTTGTATGTTTTGACTAACTATTTTGTGTTTATATAACAAAAAGCTGTGAGTAAAACTTAGGAGAGAAAAAAAGTTAAAACGGCGATGGTGCACGGCAAGAAATAAATAAGTATAGAACTACTCAACGGTGATTAGATTCTAAAATGTCCAACCTCTAAAGTTGTTAGCATCCCACTTCTAGATTCTGCAAACGCCCCATTTTGCATTTTAAGAGAAACAGTGTCCATTTATTGTCCAAAACGCTCTTCTTCCAACATGAACTTCAACTCTTCCGCTCAATTTCTCAATTTTTTCCCTGGCATGGCGGCAAAAAAGTTTTCAAAATGTACCACCTCATTTTTTATTTGAGGCATCCTGTCTCAAACCTACCATAGCGTAGACGTCCTTGAAGTCATTAGCTGCGCTTAATTTGAACGACATATATTGAAAACCAATAATTTTAGACGAATTAATTGAATTACATATACTTCCAATCGATATTAATTTAGATACCATCAGTTCATTTGCATTGGCTTCATATACCCTCACAGTGACAAAACCATATTTAAACCAAAGTGATAATATAAACATTAAGATAATTAAAGACGTAGAGGATAATAGTTATGTAATAAGACTTGAAGCCATAACATCAAGATATGCAATCCTAATCACATTAATCGTAATCAGCTACATATTGTTTTGAGAACGTTTATTGAACAACAAATGAATATGAAAAATAAGAATGAATTAATGACAGTGACACAGAAAGAGAAGAAAAAGTAATTTTTCATTAATGAAGTATTAGATTTTATATTAGTAAAACGTCGAATCGAGAAGTACGGTGGCTTTTGTTGTTTTCGAGTACTTAAATCGGAGTTGTTTCATAATCTTTCGCAAAGTTGTATGACTGTGAATAAAAAGATCTTTATAGTCGTATTGAAGTCGAAATAATAATTTATCGATGGTTTGGTAAATTTTTTGAGTCAGCATCCAGTGGAAATGATAGCGGATCATGTCTTGACCACGTTCTGACAAACGAAGACTGTCCATTACGTCGTCTTTGCTTGGAAGAAACTGGATTTGGCAAGGCAGCCCTGGTTATGGCTGATGTTTAGTAGATGAAGGGTCACGTTTTCTTGTCCGCATAGTGCCTTCCGGCTCTGTCCGGGTTCATATTTCATGTTTTAAGCTGTTCATTGAATGATGCGCGATACCGAGCATGACCACTAAGCGTTCATTGACAATAAATAATGGACTTGTCCGCTCTGCTTTTTCTTTTTCCACAAATCTGACAACATTGAATAGTAACGCTTTTCCTTCTCACGAAAACTCGTGACTTTTCGAAATTTAGTGACTAAAATTAAAATTAAACTTGATGATTTGAGCATAGCGACGTGCGAGTAAAACGTGCGTACCTTAACCACACAACTACTTCTTACTGAATCTTGTGCGGATGTGGAAAGCGTTTGTAATGTGAAATTTAAAAGCTAATACGCTGTCTTTTCTAGTCTTCAATGTATGCCCTATCCTGAAAAAGTGAGAAAGAGAACGTTTTATCAACATTTTCACTCTCGTTCACTATCAATTCTCTTGATTATATTTAGTATAATATTTTTAGCCAATATTGACAAAATATTTGAGTGTTTCTTTTCATTTTCTTCATATCTGAAAAATTGTGATATTTGAAATAAAATGCAAGTATTCATTTGATTAGAAAAAGATTATTTTTTTCGTGAACTCATACAAACGGAAAATGTGTTCGATATATGACGATGATTGCTTTGATAATGCATTGACGGGTGGTATAATTGCTGCTATTGTGATTGGTGCAGTAGGTGGTTTAGCTTGCCTTATTGGTATTATTGTTGCCATTGTTTGTGTTGTCAAGCATAGCAATCGTCGACCTGTTGGAGGTACTGTTATTCTACAACCAGGACAATATCCGGCCGGTGGTTATCCTCCTCCTCAAAATAATGGTTATTCAACAACTGGTAACTATCAGATGCCCGCTCCAACATCTCATTCACAAGCACCACCAACCACAACGACCGGTTATGGAAACACACAACATCTATGATAATGTTTGATAGTTTGAAAAGTAGAGAACATAGTTAAAATTTAATATTCGATAACTAAATTATTTTTTTATAAGCAATATTTTGAGATCCATGTTCAATAAATACATAATTGCGGATAAATTTATATGGGTGAAACGTATAGCCATTGTACTATTTGCCGATAAAAGGTCTTGAAAAATAAACCTTTCATTTGAACTTTTTCTGATAACCTCAACAAATTTCGGTAGCCTCAGTATAGCTCAAAAAACATTTTCAGCCAGTTACTTTTCATTTTACATTGTTACGTTCTAGAGCCAATAGGACCCGTGACAAAATAGATAGACATGTCGTTCTATTTCTGTCCCAGTACAGCAAGTTTTCGGGGTATCGTTCTTTTGGAGATGTCGGTTTAATTTGTCCAAAAGTAAGAAACAAGTAATTTTTCGAAATTAACGTGCGCCGTCAAAAATTATGAGTTATTTTATAGTAGTTTTATATAGTTATATAGTTATATACATATTATATAGTTTTATTTATTTATTAATCAATTAATTATTATTAAAGAATTACACGCAATATAAAAAATGGGCACTTTCTATTATCGATCTCATATGTTCATAAAAAGTGAAAGCAGTAGGAGAAACAGTTAATTAAAAAAAGTTAAAAGCAGTTAATAGAGAAAGAAAGAAAGAAAAGTTCATGTGCGAATTAGACGACATGGCGTTCTAAATACGTTCCACATATCAAAGTCTTTAGAGTGTCGTTGTGTCATGGGGTGTCGGTCTATTTTGTTGTCGGGTTTAAAAATAGATTTCAGTACAGCAGCAGTGATGTCGTTCATAAATTAAATTTAGGTAGCGCTGTTGCTACTTACGAGAAAATCCCACCAACTGATGAAAAGCTTTAAGGCTCATATTTACGCCATAAGTAGGACTTAGTGAGACTAGAAGAACCCTAAAAGAATTTCCTTTCATGGATCTATTTCGCAAAGATATGAACGTTTCAAGTTCAGGACCGAAAATGTAGATAATCTGTTTGTTGTGCGTGAATTATAATACTAACGTGCATCAAAACAAAATTTTATTGTCCAAAATACTTATAGATTGAAGTGTTTTGCGCGTTTTTCATAAATCATCCTGAGTGTCGTGTAGAGAGGGCTGAAATCCTTTTATTCACTGGTGTAATAGATGGAAAAACTAAAAGATTCATTCGAATTTTCTTCTTCATACAGTTAAGACGTATATATATATTTTTTTTTCTTTCTTCCATGGTCATATAGACCACATGCTTGTCTAACTATTTTTCTTTTGGTGAATCATCCTTAACTTACGATCGACCTCAATATGTCGAAGAATAAACGTGGATTAGAAACAAGCAATTCTCCTCCTTTGAAACAACAAGCTACTACCAGTGCAATCAACGTGCGTACACTTTTACTTGACACTCTT